AGAGATCAGCCAAGAATCTACCAGTCTAGCCTTTAGATGTAACTTCCAGTTTCTCTGAAATAGAGGATAGAGAACAAGTTGAAATGAAATCATGAGGAAATCGACAAATCCAGGTTGTTGAGTATTTTGTAGGACAACTAGCTCAGTGTCTTCAAATAGTCAATGTCAGGGGGAAAATAATGGGGATGGGGTGGAATAGGTTGTGGTGGGAAGACTATCCTTGACTAAAAGATCCTAATCAAATGCAATGTATGAGCCGTGATTGAGTCATGGTTTTAAGAAAACAGCTATTGAAAACAGGGCAGGGGTAGGGAAATTTGAGTAGGAACTAGACTTTGGGTATAAGGGGATTATTGTCCATTCTCTTGAGTGTCCTAATCTTGTTGTGGTTATATAGGAAAATGTTCTTATTTTTAGGAGGTGTATGCTAAAGTATTTAGGGGTGAAGTGTCAAAACATCTGCAACTCATTTTCAGATATTTGAGAAAATGTGTGAGTGTGTATGCTACAGATTGATGGAACAGATACGGGAAAATGTTAACAAATGTTGAATCTGGGTGTTGGGTATGTGGGTGTTCATTGTCTGTTCTTGCCAACTCATATCTATGTTTGAAAACGTTCATAATAAAGTTGAAAAACAGAACCAGGGTGAGTAAGCAAGGTAGTGTTCTTCGAAACATTGTTTGTCCTGGCCTCATTCTTTGGGTGTGCTGTTCCCATCAGGATGGGGACTGAGAGCTTTTTGATGCCGCCTTGATCGACGTCCTTCCGGTTTCCCTTATTCTTTCCAGGTAGGTAAGAACTTTGCTCCTGCGTTTCTGTCCGGGTGATCCAGCCGATGGGCATTGGGTGGTTCTGGCTTCACATGTACTTTCTTCCCTGCTGACAACAGGAAGCTGCCAAAGACAGACCCGGGATTTAAGTGACAAACCCCGGCTCAGCTCTGCTGAGGACCTTCACTCTACCTTTTCAAAGTAGGGCTCTGGGAAGAATCCGTACACAGGACTGACTCCCACAGACCAGCCATTTAGAAACTCCTCTTTGCTCCCTATCCTATGGTATTAATGTAGGTTTCTGCAGGATTCTCACTTGTCTTTTTTTTTTTTTAAGTGAAGAGGCTTTACTTTGCACACCTTTGTGCCAGTCATCGTTTTCTGAACATCAAGAGGGCTGTCTGGATTATCCACAATCACCAGGGATGCGATAGTAAGGTCAGGTGTTCTCAAAGGGAAACGTATTTAGTGGCCCATGGAGAGAAGTCGTTTACGTAGAATGGCAGTGAAGGCCTGGTTTATGAAGTGGGCTTTGTGGAAGCAGGCATTACGGTTAGTAGCAACGGACGCCAGGCTGAGGAGGGCTGTGCATCATATCCCTGTGGTTAACAGAGTTCTGTCATGAGGATCTCTTTCCCGTTTGATACAGATGTCTCAGTAGGTACCTGCCTTTGAGTACACTTCGCCAAACTGGTACACTTCACAGAGCACAGACCACTGCAGAAGGCCCCTGCTGCACTTCGAGATGGTCCCTTGTCCTGCCACCCTAAGAACTTTGCTTGCAGCCTCTATTAGTCCGTTTTTACACTGCTGGTAAAGACATACCCTAGACTGGGTAATTGATAAACAGAGGTTTAATGGACTCCTCACAGTTCTGCGTGACTGGGAATGCCTCACAAACATGGTGGAAGGCGAAAGACATGTCTTACATGGTGGCAGACGAGAGAATGAGAACCAAGCAAAAGAGGTTGCCCTTATAAAACCATCAGATCTCGTGAGATGCATTCACTACCATGAGAACAGTAAGGGGGATCCACCCCCATGATTCCGTTATCTTCCACCAGACCCCTCCCACAACACGTGGGAATTATGGGAGTATAATTCAAATGAGATTTGGGTGGTGACACAGCCAAACCATATCACAGCCCCCAGGAAGCCTCAGTTTTAGTCAGCCTTGCGTATCACAACTGTCCTCTGAGAGTAGCAGTTAGCAAACTTACTAGGGAGAACAGAGCATCTTTTCCCCCCATTGAAAACAGAATAATGAAGCCCTCATCCCAGCCAATCTTGTGTGGGTGTGAGAATTTGGTGCAGTGAATGAGGAAATGTTTTAGCACAAAGGAGAGGGAACTATATTATTTTAACTTAAGCATGTGGGTCCTTAAGCAATCCTGCCTTCAGATAGTTCTCAGGCATTTTGCTAAGCCCAGACGTCCCATCTTCTCCCCTCCTGAACTTTTACAGCCTTTTTCTTCAGATGCTGCAAACTAATTGCATTCCTCACTCTGAGCAGACCTTGCTGGCCAGGCAGTGGACACTGGAGTAGTCATTAAGATACAAGTCACCTGAGAGGTTGTAGGAGCTCTGCAGTTCTGCAGGAGGACAAATATGAATGTTCTCATTGAAAAATTACATTCAGGCTGGGGCAATGGCACATGCCTGTAATCGCAGCACTTTGGGAGGCCAAGGTGGGTGGATCACCTGAGGTCAGGAGTTTGAGACCAGCCTGGCCAACATGGCGAAACCCCATCTCCACTAAAAAAAATTTAGCCAGGCATGGTCATGTGTGCTTGTAATCCCAGCTGCTCTGGAGGCTGAGGCAGGAGAATTGCTTGAACCGGGGAGGCAGAGAGATTGCAGTGAGCCAAGATCATGCCACTGCACTCCAACCTGGGTGACTGAGTGAGACCCCATCTCAAAAAAAAAAAAAAAGAAAAATTACATTTAACAGAAAAGGGATGGGACAGAGATTGGCTGGGCATAACTAAAATGGTTTTCTAATCAAATGGGAAGGCTTTATATAAAGCACTCAACAGGCTGGGATTGCCACCTGTGGACTCAAAGTATTTGTGAGCCCAGTGGGCACGTGCAGCCTCTCAGGGCCTCCTGGGAGTCTTTTTGGTTCATTTTCTTGTTCTCTTTTAGAATGATCATTTTCATTATAAACAATCTCCTCTAAAGCCCTCAGTAACTTTTTTCTCAAAAGGCTTTCTATTCGGTACTATCTGGAGGAGGAGCTGAGAATGAGTGAGTTGGAGTAAGCTATACCTTCTGGCTGAATGCTAATTTATCTCCACCAGGTGGATTGGCAGCTGAGTTAGGTAGTGGGGAAACAGGAAGACCAGGACTCTGCCCTTGAAGGCAGCCAGGAAAGTTTAGACATGAGTGACCTCGTCCATCTCTAAGTAGCCTGTGCTTAATGTTTTCTGTGTGCAGTGGCCAGGTTTCTGTAATCTACTGGGCACCTCCACTGGACCAATAGTTGTCTGAACGGTGTCATCTATGTTACAGGATAAGCTTCTGAGGGCAAGGAGTTGATACTTGTTGAGCACTTACTCTGCCAGGCACTGTGTGGGTGCTTCAGTAGGTTCTTGTTCATTCCTTGCAATAATCTGGTGAGGTAGGCTACCCTTACCAGCTCAGACGAGGAAGCTCTGAGAAGTTAGACATGCACATGGTCAGTACTGGAGCTGACTTTGGAACCCATACCTGATGGACTCCCTTCCCTTACCCAGTGCTCGGCATAGCGTTGTGACACACGCACACACACCCTGACAATTAAGTGCATATGTTCCTAGTAGTGCACTAGCTGTGTCCCCAAAATAGCATCTTGTATAGCAACCACCATGATATGAGGATTTTAAAATACATCATGTTTCAAGGGATGGGTAGATCACATGCTAACTAGGAAGTCAGCCAGCAGGCAGACAGCTGGTGCAGGGTGTAGAAACGGGCATTTTAAGCTTTGACACTGGGCTTCCTTATTTCCCCGCTTCTCTTCCTCTTTGATAACTCCCTGCCTTACCCCACTCCCAACATGCCAGGGGGCTCTTTGCAGTTCTCATGGAGTTGACTTGACCTCTGTTAATGAGATCTAATCATTCAGAGCAGGGCCATGTGCCCAGATGTAAGCTGAGGGATTGTTCTTGGCCTTGAAATGGGGCAGAAAACGGGGCTGCAGACCAGCACTGCTGGCCCCCATTTCAGGGTCTAGACTCCTCTGAAGAAGGCTTGAGCCACTGGAGCAATGTCTTCTGGTAATGAAGTCATTCCTCCTTGGGGACAGAATGAGGCCTCTGTGAAATGAGAAACAATGGGCACGTTGAGTTCCAGACCTGGAGTGAATCGAAGCTTAGGCAGAGGCACATGGGATGAATTGGGACAATTCAAGGGATGCATTCTTCATAGACAAGGTTCTGTTGTCAACAAGTCCACTCAGTTGTAATGATGCTTAGTTAACGGTCGTTAATGTCTTTTAAAAATAATTTCCCCAAGTAAGGCATGAACTCTTAAGGTTTTTTTCCCTCTGAGTTTTAATTAGTGTAAATTATTTTGTCTAAAAATCACCCTGTGAAAAATGGATGAAATATAGATGTGGGAGCAATGTTTTGTTTATTCTTTTTCATGGGATTGTTTCTTATTTACCTATGAAGCAAACACACATGTCTCTGCTAGTAATTTAATTTCCAGGAAATAAAAGTGGGGTGTTGCTACTCTCTACTGTTAAGCAAAAGCGCTTGGTGCAAGTTTCGCAAAACTTAACTCACCTAGTACCAAAACAGCAGGCCAAAAAGTCTTGCAAACTTTAAAAAAAAAAAAAAAAATCCACTAATAGAGTTGATTGCCATTCTTGCCTCCTCCACTCTGGATCCCTGTGCTGTTTGACTTTTTCCAGCAAAAGATGAGGGAGCGGGAGCCCTGTCCTAAGAGTGCAGCAGCAACCGGGACAGTGCTCCCTGGGTTGGGAGCAGGACCTGGCACTAGCCGCCTCCTTCCATAGCGCTCCCAAGAGAGAAGGTTAACTGCCACATAGAGTTCTGAGTGCAGTGATGTCAGGGAGAATTTGAAACAAACGCAGTGAGTGCAACAACCGCCTGGCATGCTGGCCGGCCCGGGGCTTGCTGGCAGGGTTCTGCGGGCGCGGGCCGGGCTTGGACTGTGTCGCTGCGCGGCGGGAAGGCGGGGCGGGGCCTGGCGGCGCTGCTAACCGCCCTCCCTCTCCCCTAGGTGAGGCCGCAGGCGGTGCTCTGGGTCCGGGAGCGCTGTCCCCAGCATGAACGCGGCCGGCGGCGGGAGTGAGTGACTGCAGCTGCGACTTCCTTCCCGGGCCGCCCGAGCCTCCTTCCCCACCGACTTTCTTTTTTTGATTAACTCCGTGGACTCCTGACTCTTTCTTCGCCTGGAACATCAATATGTGTCATGTCATTGTCACCTGTCGCTCGATGCTCTGGACCTTGCTGAGTATTGTAGTGGCTTTTGCCGAGCTCATTGCCTTCATGAGCGCAGACTGGCTGGTCGGGAAAGCGAGGAGCCGCGGCGGCGCGGAGCCGGCGGGCCCAGGCGGGGGCTCCCCCGAGCCCTACCACCCCACCCTGGGCATCTACGCCCGCTGCATCCGGAACCCAGGGATGCAGCACTTCCAGCGGGACACGCTGTGCGGGCCCTACGCCGAGAGCTTCGGCGAGATCGCCAGCGGCTTCTGGCAGGCCACAGCTATTTTCCTGGCTGTGGGAATCTTTATTCTCTGCATGGTGGCCTTGGTGTCCGTCTTCACCATGTGTGTACAGAGCATCATGAAGAAAAGCATCTTCAACGTCTGTGGGCTGTTGCAAGGAATTGCAGGTAAGAAGGCAGGACCCCGGGCACGGTGGGATGCAGGGATGGAGAGCTGCCGGTGCAGCGCACTCTGGCACCGGGCATTTGCTTCCTGCCAGTTTTGGAGAAGACCATTTTCTCTCTAATCAGGTTTCCTTTGCCCCTTCCGTTCTAGGCGACGTTTGTGTGCTGCTCGCATGGGCCTCTTTCCCCTGTCTTACCCCACAAGAAAACGGGCTTGTTCTTCTCTGGTGTTACATGGTCCTCCTCATTGCTTATTTCCTCGGGGTCTAAGGTGTTGGTTTTGGTTTGAGTAACTACTCCTACTTTTTGTGTTTCCCATTAAATTAAAAGCATGCTCTCCACTTCAGTGCAACTCCCTGAGGAATTACGGAAAGCGTGAGTCCCACCTTCAGCAAGCACTCGATGCTAAGAGGAATGTAAGTGGGGTCGCTCATTAAGAAGCAGCAAGCCTGCTTCCCCATCCACTCTCCGCTCCAGCCCCCAGATGATTTCAGCTTGGGCGGGGAAGACAGGGGCTGGGAAGGAATTAGTATCAGCTGCTGTGTGTTTAGTGAGGTTCTGGTTTAAATTGTCTGTTTCCTAGAGCCTGACAGAATGTTCTGTGCACTCAGATCAGAAAATGCAAGCTAACTCTTCCATTTTCTGGGAATTTCTCACTCACGAGCTTATTAGAAATGGGCGGAAAGAAAAGGATGAGCTCTTTACAGTGGTCCCAGAGAGAAGGTTGTGAGCTGCAGGGAAAGCATCCACGGCTACCAGCACTTTTGTAGGCTTCCCTGCGTGGGTTTGAAAGGTGGGTCCTGAACCAATGGGATAATAGTCTGTCTAGGTTTGATTCAAGTTTCTTGTTCTGGGTGACAGAAATTCACACACAAACACACAGCTGAGTTTGAAGACATCCCCAAAGAAGTAGAGGAGTAGACTCTTGCTTTGATATTCAGAAAACAGGTGCTTACTTTTTAACCAAGACATTAATCTAGACTCTAACAGGACAAAGTTACCCACCTACAACCCTAAATGAAGGGCACAGGTGATTCATCCCTCAGCAAATTCTAGAGCTGTGTGCACAGGATTCTTCAAAATAAAGTTATACACTGAGCCATGTGTCCAGGGCAGTAAAGCAGCAGCCCCCAAACGAATTCACTCTAGCCGGCCTCATAGCAAACTCTTGAGCTCAGCAGGGCTGGCTTCCAAATAAACAGATCAAATGACAGCTTTTTCCCAAACAGCCGATAAGATAAAGTTTACTGTTCCTCAAATCTTAGGAGGCCCCTGTGTAGGGTGGAGGTGGGGGACGGGGAGTAATGGGCCAAGAGAAATGACAGAGGGCCTGCTCCTTAGTTCTGATTTGCTTTCATGGGGGAATACACTATCCAGACACCAGGCCCCTTAAACTTTCTGGCCCAAAGGGACAAGTCTCAGGTCCCTCATCTCTCCATCTGCCAGGATCAGCCATACCACAAGTGACCCAGGCACTCATGGAATTTGGGAGACCAGGATTCTGTATTTCAGCATTGCTCCTCAATAGCAGTTTCACATGAGATAAATGTACCACCCCGGGTCTCAGTGTTCTCCTTCTGAAAAATAGGAAGATTGGAAAATATAACCTTCTTTTAGAATTTTTAGGCTTAGAGTTTGATTCTGTGAAGCTCCTTGTCCCCTTTTGACTCACTTCTGAAGATGTCTCTCCCCTTCAGCTTGGCATCTCACCACCCAGAAATGTTAAAGGTGGGTTTCAAGACTGAGTCATCATTTTCTTTTTTTTTTTTTTTTGAGACGGAGTCTTGCTCTGTCGCCCAGGCTGGAGTGCAGTGGCCAGATCTCAGCTCACTGCAAGCTCCGCCCTCCCCAGTTTTACGCCATTCTCCTGCCTCAGCCTCCCGAGTAGCTGGGACTACAGGCGCCCGCCAACTCACCCGGCTGGTTTTTTTGTACTTTTTAGTAGAGACGGGGTTTCACTGTGTTCGCCAGGATGGTCTTGATCTCCTGACCTCGTGATCCGCCCCTCTCGGCCTCCCAAAGTGCTGGGATTACAGGCTTGAGCCACCACGCCCGGCCCATCATTTTCTTATCAGAGAAATGTCCCTACTTTATTCTCCTTGGACACAAGGTGCCTCAGGGGTGTGTGGGTGTGTGTGTGTGTGTGTGTGTGTGTGTGTGTACATGCATGTGTATATCTTAAAACTTTTGCAGAGAAATGTTACTGAAGGCTTTTGAAGAGTCAAACATGTAGCTCAAGGGAAGCCAGCACACACAATTTATTAATCCTGTTGAAGAGCCCTGGTTGACCAGAGAGAAGGATTTCTGTTTACTGTTCCCTCGCTCTGTTGTAGTTGTACATCCTTGATGATTTCATGCCTTTATTATGGGCTTTATTGATTTGCTGGTATGTAGATGAGACTCCTGGTTTGTCATGTAGGGGTGCTTCTTATCCTGAGAAACTTGATGATCCCACTATCTTCCAGTAAACCAGTGGCCGTTTACTGGAAGGGGTGGGACATCTTGGGCCATAACACTAAACCTATCTTTGGCAGTCATTCAGAAGCAAAGCATAGTATCCTTCAAGACTATTTACATGCAGTTTATAATAAGGTGTTAGTTGAGTGAATTCCATCTCTGAATGTGGATTAGTCCAACACATTCTGGTACTCTCGTGTGCCTCACATTAATGGCAAGGTGTTATTATTGCACAAAGATTAGTATGGCTCTCCGGTATTCGAATGCTCCAGGGAGTTTTTTTTCTTTTTTCTTTTCTTTTTTTTTAAGACGGATTCTCACGCTGTTGCCCAGGTGGGAATGCGATGGCATGATTTGGCTCACTGAGACCTCCCCCTCCCAGTTTCAAGCGGTTCTCCTGCCTCAGCCTCCCAAGTTCCTGGGATGACAGGCGCCCGCCACAATGCCCGGCTAATTTTTGTATTTTTAGTATTGACAGGGTTTCCTCATGTTGGCCAGTCTGGTCTCAAACTCCTGACCTCAAGTGATCCACCCACCTCCGCCCCCAAAGTGCTGGGATTGCAGGTGTGAGCCATTGTGCCTGGCCTCCAATGAGTTTTTCTTACTTTTCTGTCTGCACAAGGCCTCTGGGAGGAGGGTTGAGGAGAAAGAAGTAGGAGCACTCCTGAGGGCTGGTGCTGATCTTCTGCCTCTTTCCAGTCTAGAAGCTTTAACTTCCTCCTTACTCCTGTTACCTATGCAGCATCTTAAAAATTCTTAAGTTACTCAGAATTTTAAATTGGCAGGAGGCAGAGATTCCTGCATAGTTTGACTGCTGTCTAGGAGCCACTGATCTAAGTGCTGAAATGCAGGAAATAACTGGTTTCTTTTCTCTGTCCAGCCTAGCATCACCCTTCAGAGAAGAAATCATGAAAAAGAGGGACTGAGCTATACTTCTCATGTTGGGGGTCACACCTGCAAGGGATACTCAGTGGGTGCTTTCTCCCCTATCGGAGGTCTCATCATGCACTTCAAGCCAGTGTAAGGGGCGCTGTGGTTCTTGCATCCATGGCTGAGGACGTTGTCACACTGGCATCCGAAAGGGCTGGCTGGCTTTCTCCCGTTGGCCAATCTGTGATAGCCTCTGGTCAGCCCCAGCCTCAGCAAGGACTTGCTGCAGCTGTGAGCACCGGCTTCTTCTCTCCCTATGCCCCGTCTCCCTCAGCCCTGGATCTCTTCAACACTGAAACAAATGGTGAGAAAGGAGCCCGTTGCCAGAGCAACAAAAAGATTCTTTAGAAATATACTCAGGCTGTGTTTGTTCTTACACCTTACATTTTGGCAAAAATGTGACTGGATGAAAAATGATCGTAAGCATATTCTTTTGCTATACCTAATTTTAAGATATAAATAGGCCACAGGCTTGTGTAGCCTTCACTGTCTATAAAAAACACAGCACAATTAATCAAAATCTTGTCCGAGTTTAGAAATTGGGTGTGAAAGAATCTGCTACTTCAGTGGAAATCCCAAACTCTGGGCTAACTTAAACAGTAATGAAATATAACTATTGCCTGTTACGTGAATCCAGATAGCAGGATCTGCCTTCAGGGCCTGGCCTAATGGTGGACATCCGGCTGATACTTTCTAAATACTGTGCACGTGTCCTTGATGTTCAGCACTCATGCAGTAATGAGGGGTCAAGCCTCACCTGAATGTGCCTTTGAAACACGGACCAATTTGCCTCACTTTTCTGAGCCATAGTTTTCTCACTTGTAAAATGGGTATAATACTTTATACCTCAGGACTGTTTTGAGGATTAAGTTAGATGCTACATAAAAAGGCTTAAGCATAGTGCTTAACACACAGTAAATAATAAATGGTACCTATAGAATCGTTATCCAAGTATTTCTGCTTTCTTGGCAAGTTTTAGTATATTATAGGCTTCCCGGATTTGTTGCATTCTAAGGAACAGGGATATCTTGTAGCTTTTAGAATTGACCTTATTCTGTTCAAATCAAACACAAATACAGTGTGTAGGGTCTTTCCCTGTCCTTAAGAGCCTGCCTGTGTTGGAGCTCAGGGCGCACAGCAGTCCTATGGCTTTGGTGTAACCAGGGGTGTCCTCAGATCATTTTTTTAAAAAGCAGGAGAGAGCAGTCAAATTGACAGGAAAACAAAGAGCTCCTTCCTCCCACTCCCCTTCCCCTGACATGCACATTTTCCATTCCTTCGCCTTCTGGAGGCAGCTTCTAGCCATTGAATGTTGATTGCAGGTGGCTTCCTAGAGCCTCCTGGCGGAGTAAACCACAGGCTGATTGGTCTTCAGAGGTGAGAACTTGTCCAAGGACTTGGCAGAGCCAGCAGCACACATTGGTTCGCATCCCTTTGGGATTCGTTACAAAAGCCGGTGATCAGCCAGCAGGGTTGGCTTTTTGCCGGCTGTCTTCCTTAGGTCGTGACCTGGATATAATCCATCGTGAAACCGTAGAATGCAAAGATCCAGGTTTTCCATGACAACATCAAGCAGTTTGTTTTTGGAAATGCGTGTAGGGTTCTCTTAGAAGTCC